TGAAAGGTATATTTATTTTAACTGTTTGAATGTTTTCCTGTACCAGTGTACTACATTCGAAAAAACACAACACTGGGTAAATTTGAACGCTCCTCGCCAAGCTGTGCACTTAATAGGAACGTTTACGATGGTTTTGTGGTTAAACGTATCAGTTTGCTGAAACGATTAACAACATGATCCCTCAACACTTGAAAATCGATTATACTGCAGTTTTAGTACGTTTGAGGACCACTTGATCAAATATGTATACAGCGGTGCCTGGATATAAGGTGCACAGTCAGGACCAGTATGTGGCTTATATGTATACATATGGGCATGTAGTGGAACATGACACCCATGTCAAATTTTACCAAATTTCAAGTGAAATGCATTAAGAACAACTAATACTGATGATCAGAGATATCGATAATGGAGATATAATGAGAATGACACTGCATCATGTAACTACTACAGAATTTTCAAGCGAAAGACATTTATAGATCTAAAGGTTTCTTCCATCATCATACCTATCCTCGATCCTTGTCGAGCAAAGAAGAATGACAGAACCATCGGAAAGCAACGAATAGCTGGAGCATTGTGAATGTTTGTAACAACCAGGTTCGAGAGTGAAATTCTCGAGCAAAGTATAGAAACGGAAGTTCATTACCGGATGTGCGACGCAAGGCCTCGGCTGATTTGTTTCAGAAATATCGACAGTACGTGTTTGCTAACGAACCCCCGGAACAATGAACTGATTTTGTCCGCGGCCATTGTGAACATAACTTGGCTAAAATACACTTCATTGTTTCGAACATCGTTGAAATATCAATGCCGCGTGTCCGGAAACACTGCACACACGGGAGGTTTTCGTGACAATTGATTACGTTACCAATGAATCAGTACAGTGCTGATCATTCGCGTTTTCGTCGGGTGCTTGGTACTGTTTATTTTGATAATAGGTGTCACGTATTCTGCGACAGGAAACCGAGTGCTTAAAAATTTAATCGTTCGATACAGGAAGCGACTGCAGACGCGGGCTCTAAAAGGAAAATTTATTAATAATACAGAGTATCGACCAGCAACATTTTCAACGATAGCATTAATTCTGATAGTTATATAAAAATTTAAGAAACTGCTTAAAGCTTCAAATAAATTGTACGAGAAATATAACATTAAATGGGGAGGTTTAAGGGGAGGCTATAGCCCGGGGCTTCATATATTATGTCAAAAAATATTGAACGTAATTCTACTGTTGCTATCCCTTTTCTTTACGACTAAATGTTATTCATTTTTATTTAGAATAAATTCCAATTTTTGTTGAACCAAGGTTTGATAGCCCTGGGCTCCAGAAATCTTAATCCAATCCTGCGTTGATTAATTCAAGGAATTATTGAAAGTGATTTGATCGATTGATTTTGTAATCGAATGTTTCAATTCGGTAGCTATATCGAAACCAGAATACTGATTATCGCGATAGAAGTCGATGTATGAAATATTTAAATAGGAAATGTACGAAGGAAAATATTTCCGCTAGAATTTTCCGGATTTATTTAATTAGAGCGTTAATTAAGATCTACAAGTTGGTCTTAAAATATCCCACAGCGAAATATACATCCAGTACGGATAAATTGTAATCCACCAGCCAACGAAACACGACTGGTTATTAGAATGAACATGGGCAAATACGTTCAGCATGAAATTGACTTGGCAGTCTGGAAAATGGAATTGACGTGACGCGAGGGTTAATATAATGCAAATAGGAGCTGTGTCCTTATTTATCGATTTTCGTGCTTGGGTATGAGAAACTGTATCACCAATGGTTGATACCATTGTGTTCTTTGTCGACTTAATGATAAGAATTCTAACGAAGATCAACAAACGTGGCGCGAAAGTGAACAATCAGACATACTTGATACTTTAACATGTTATTGCTACAGTCAAAATGAATTTACCATTGAACAATTCCATTTTCCAATTTCAACTCGTCACTTGCTATCGTATAAAATGAATACAATTTAGGATTTTCTAAAATTTCTCTTCTACAATTATTGGATTATATTGAATTCGCGGTACGGGTCACCGATGTCCTGCACGGTATTCAGCGTGTTAACGTAGATCAATTCGCTCGGGCGAATATCATTCCCGGAGGTATAAAAGCGAGTGAACGCAGAAGATTGGAAATAAATAGCCTTTAGAGGCGGCTATACCTACTATATCTCAAGGTGCCGGCACCGTCAAAGCTTAAATGTCAAGCTTCGATGCTGTTTCTCTCGGTTAGACGGGCATCTTTGGTAAATTTGCTTTATACCTTTGCCACTGACGTCCAACAAAAGCTCGGACTTTCTCGAGATCTTCAGGCTACGGTATGTATTACCATCTTTTCTTTTTCATTTATGCTCACCCAACAAACGTACATTGAGATATTTGTACGAAAAGCTAACTTAAATTATTTTAGAATCATATTTAAAATATTGAATAATTACTTAATAGACCAATCCATTTGGTATGAAATACCTTGACTTTTATAAAATATACCGAAAGAGTATATTCATCGATTAGAATATCGTTTGTAACGGGTGTGAAACGAAAAGAATTATCGAACGATGAAACTGAGGCATCGACGTGTATCGTGACATCAATTAAGTACGTTATGAAGTATAAAGAATCCATTGGTTGGCATAAAAGAAGCGAGATCTCCTCTGATAAAAAGAAAAATAAGCAAGAAAACGCGAACGAATCCGCGAGAAGCGGTGAAGTGCTGTCAGCGTCAGGATATGCGTAGGAAACAGGCCAGGCATTGAACGGGAATGACAAATTTGTCAATACCGTTCTTGCATCGACAATCGTGTCCTCCAAATTCTTTATTTTTAAGTATCCCGCTTTTCATTCGAAGCGAGACGCTTTTGAAAGCATGTCACCGTGAGGATCTTGAAATTTAAGCGAAACCCTCATCAACCCACCTCTTTTCATCAGGATTTTTGTCTGAATTTTTAACCTCATACCTTCGCTTCGTCAGAACTATTCCGATATTGTGAAATCCCGCAAAAAGAGATAAAAAAGAATCGAGCCAGAACATCGTGAAAATACTGGCTTACAAATTTCAAAAAGTATCAGTGAACTGTTAATGGGTACACATGAATCGTACGACTATGGCGCTCGTTTCTATTTTATTACGCGTTCCAAATGGTCGACGTGTAGTCTAGAATAGTTTAATAGTTGACGCTAAAGGTGTTCAAAATTTCATGAGGGAGAATTTTCATTTCGAACAAATCGTATCGAAAATCTTCACAATATTACATGTATCCACAATCTCAAGTACCTCGTACGAATGTTTTTAATTAGATAGATAAAAAAAATTTCTAGTAACGCGAATACCAGTCGGATACAAACAAGACAGATCGAAATTATAACCGCAAATATAGAACAGGTGATAGAACGCGTTGAACCGAGTGCAACTGACCACCGGTAACCGACAAAGTAACGAGTTCGTGGTCCTGGTAAGCAATTTTACGCGAACCAATACGACTGTGCTACACTAATAAAAAGTAACTTCCCATAAATTGGAATTTACTGTGCGGACCTATAAGAATTCATTGAACCATCAGCAACCCGCTTAATAATCGCACCATGGGGTATAAAGATCGAGCGATGCGCGAGAAGTGCGAAGAACGAAGAATTAGAGAGAGCACTGTCCATATCGAATAGTATCGGTTTAATCTAAATCCTTGTTGTTATTTAGAAAGTATCCTAGTGTAGACGCTTTAGAACTAAATTAAAAGCAATTATTAAACCCAACAAAATTAATTTTTTAACTGTTTACACTAAAATCCTTCTCAAATTGTAAGATATTAAAAGTGTCTTCAAACAAAGAACACAATGTAAATGTGTACTGTAGCATTTTTAGACTTAGACTTCTCTTGTTAAAAGAAAGTGTAGGAGCGCCTCACCATTTTCCTTATTTGTCCATCTTCTTTACATATGACCACATGAAGTTCTGGGTTAGGTTCTCTTTAGGTTCTCCCTGGCTAGCCTAAGGTTCTTCCAGAGGTTTCTCAAGATTAAAGGCAAATGGTGAGTGGCTCCTCCCCTTAAACTTACTCTTAATCAACAGAAGCCTACATTGTAGCTGAGTGTACATTGTCGAACACGCTAGCCTTACCGAGAGAAAATGACCGGCTAAAAAAAAGAGGCCTCCACTAGTGGTAAGCCATTGCTATATATAATACGCATTAATTGTTTCACTTATTTCCTTTGAAATACCGAACCAAATACTCGTCTCATATAACCGAACCTACAAATAATACGAGTATTAGAAAGAATAATGGGATCTCCTTCCTCTACATCGGTTCTTTTTTAAAAGCTTCCTACTGTACTCGGCACTGTACACCGCAATAATCTACAAAGCGTGATGAATTGACATATAGAAATAAGAAACCGCAGTATGGGGGCTTGTAACATCGCTCGAGCGCATCGGTGGTTCACGATAAGGTCGGTTAAAAAGGGGTCGAGGGGCGGCAGGAAACAGAAAAGAGGTGGATAATACCGATAGAAAAATGAGCGAGGAAGACGATGCAAACGGATTGTCGGAAGCGTCAGGTGGGGTTTCGGATGCGCGGGTCTGGAAAGGGTGCGAGCGCCGGGTGGGATTCAGCGGAAAGAGGGGTGACCCCGTAGCATATCTGGATATACTTCTACCAGAAGCTATCGAAAATAATTATTGAAATATTGTCATCTAAATATAACAATATCTTTAGATTTGCTATAATTAATAATTATCAATATAGTTATATTAAAAATATTTACCCGAAGTATAGTAAGAGGAATTTTTAATAGAAATAATAATGGAATATTATAACATAACTAAAGTACAAAATAAAGTTTCCGAAAGTATTTCTATTTTTTATTTGAAATATCATTTTAGCCAGGTTTGCCCTGTGGTAGGGAGCGCGAGTAGAACGGCGCTGTCAGCTGACGCGCGGGGAAGGGTGGAGAGGGTGGATACGGAGTCGAATAGCGAATACTGGCTCAGTTTGCTTTCGTTCGTCCTCGCAGAACGTTGCTCGGCGCACTCCGCCCGTAGTGCACTTTTAATGCACTTTAGCGATTCGCCTAACTAACGACTGATTTTTCATTCGAATATAAACCGTGTCGCGGTCGTTTATTGTCTCGTGTGCCGTCGAAGTGTACGAATGTGGTCGTGATGCAAATGGCGATCAATTGGTGACGAAGAGGTGTATGTATCTTGCCACGAATAAAGTGTCAAGTGCCGGTGAACGATAAATACGATGATACGGAGTTGGTTCCTCATCTACCTCTTTCTGCTGGCATACGTTCAAGGTTAGCGCTCTCTGATCCTCCGTTTCCTCGATACACGTGTGATTGATATGCAAAAATGCATCAAATGATTTTTATGAAATTATTCGCAAATATTCCATTTTAAATTCGATTTGTTGATCAGCCAACGATGGTATCCTCTTCCTTCAACAATAGCTGAGAAGCGTATTGAACGATCGGTTAACCGATGACGTAGCAACAAATTGTTTCTGATGACGTTAGGAGTTTTAGCGAGCCCTTTACAATACTCCAGTGTTTAATATTTGTTTAATTTTTTCGCTGCAGTACAGACTAATGCGAAACAAATACCGCAGGCAAAAGAAAACTAGCAAACGACGCGTATTCTTTAGCGAATAATGTAAGAAATATTTGTTGCCAAGTGAAAATATGGAAGTTGCATTTAGAAAATTTCAAGATATACGATCTGTCTGATATTTGCTAAACAATTGCTGTCGGAAACTCGGAAGGGATGATAGTTTATGATTAGTAAAATTAGTTGAATACCTAGAGGCGCCTGTAGCACAGACCGAGAGAATTTCTCGGCCGCCTGTAAGCTCCAATAGCACTGAAAGGGTTAAAGCACATATCTAACTACACGCGATGTACGTATAGCCCCACGTGTTTTATCTCGTCGTGTTTTCTGCTTGCGACTATGTACGAATAGAGCAGCGGAGCTATTTTCTTTCTTTCTTTCTCTCGTTTCTTTTTCTTCCATTTCCGACGCTCGTCCGAGGGTGTTGCGTGTCCTTCCAATTCGCTTTCATGAGAACGGAAGGGTTTTTAGAACACGAGCCACATATCTACGAACCGTTATGCAACTAATACATCGAGGAATCCTAGTGCAATAGCTGTTCGATAATTCACCGCTTTCGGAGCTCTGTTAACGGGCTTTTCTAAGAAACGAGAAATCGTCAAGCATCAATGATGTGGGTGTATCTTTTACAGTTCATTTGCTTATGCGACGAAGGTATACGTTCATTGAGAAAGTGAGATGCACGTGCATGAGTGAACAGGGGGCGTTCCTTACAGGGAATTATATAGCAGGAAGTTATTGAGCGGATACTGTCGTGACCGTACCCTTGGCATACTTCTTTCTATGCTTCCTATTTGCCTGTTGTGTTATTGTTCCGTTGAAGCTGAACAGTTCTCGGATATTTTTAACTTTAAAAAGACTAGAGCGGAGAGGAACTCGAGCTCACTGATTAGGAAATACTGGAAACGTATTATTTCTGTCAGATGAGACATTTCCGAAAAATTATTTCATATTCATTGTTATTCGAAATTAGTATCGAAGGGAAATCATTTTACTTCAGAAATAATGAGATTAACCCTCGGACGAGTTCTAAGTTCAGTTTTCGCGTTTCGCTATATGGTCAAGAATTTCTATCAGTCGCTGAAGGAAATTCGCGTTTCAAATATCCTTTGTTAGAAATGAACCGCTGGAAAGCGGTCTTTTCATTATGCCAACCTTTCCTGGCGATTCGAACAGGGGAAAAGCGTCTTGAAATAATCATGAAACCGTTCCTTTGCCGCTGTAGGGTAGTCGATGCAGATTCTTGTTAACTTTCACTTTAGTTATTCAAAACCCTCCCTTTCTCCGTTCGTACCTATAGTTAACCTTATCGTTCAGACTTGCTAGGCGCGCTAAAACACATCGTACTTACGTATTTTTTCTTGGGATATCGTTTCCTATTTATGAGGTCTCTTTCATTCACCGGTGAATCATGTGCTAATCGACACGGTGCCTTGGGGGTTCGTGCATACCGAAACACGGCTTAGAAATGATCCCCTTTAAGCGGGACTACGTGTATTTAAATTGCAAAGTAATCGTTATGTCGACATGTGCAGTTTGGAAAATGCCCTCGTACCATCCGTAAGAACCGGCAAACCGATTTTCGTGGAGGATTCGACTTTTGACGAGGTTCCTTTAACATGTTGGGTGCTGTGCCAAATTCATGTTGGCACCAACCCTCTACGTTACTGTATTTATTATATGGGGTGTTCATTGTAACGATCTTATAGATAGTTCCGATAATCGGATAAAGAAGGTCATAAATAAAGATTGGTTGACAGAAAAATTATAAAATTAAATATTGCCAAAATATTCTTTGTTCGACAAAGAAACAAAGTCACTGACACTTTTTTAAATAGCACCTCAGACGGCGTTTATATTATTTTTGTTTTAACAGCCTTCTTCCTTCCTCGTACCTCAATTACAATTAAGTTTATTTAATATTCTTTAATAATAGGATCTACGGTCATTTGAGAAAGTAATAATGAATCACAGTAGGCAAACATTTGATACAATAAAGAAGTCAATTACGTAATTGGTGCTTAAGGATACTTAGGCCGTTAACTCTACGAGGATTCTCAATTGGCAATATTTAACTTTAACATAGCAAACGTGTCCTCGATTAAATCGATGGCACATTCAGCAACAAGTGTGCAATATTGTTATTATTCAAAAGCTTTTACATTTTCAAAAGTATTATTTTTAATAGAGCAAGCTTTTAAAATAGATAAATAAAAAATAAATTTGACTTATTGAATTTTATGTCATTTGTCATTAATTAATTAAATTATTTTTAATAATATTTCACACTGGTAATTAACCAAAGTCGTGGTAACATTTCTAATTGAAGAAAACCTGGTTTAATATCAATATTGCCAGCTGTTCAGTGATACGACAGCAAACAGATAATCCAGCTTTTTATTGTTGATTGCTGGGCACTGTCTCTTTGTGAGACTTACTTACAGGGATCGCAATTTTCTGAGAGTGCTTTCTAGCGGTTTTCAAACCCGACCAAATGGAAATTTTATTTCGAACTCGAGGAAGCCATGAAGGTTTTTCACGCGTAAGAAGGGAAGGAAAGTAGCGGAAAAGAAAGATAGCCAAGGGAAAGGTACACGAGAAATACCTTGAAAGATAAGAAACATTCACTGGGTATGGAGCTCCTTGGTGTACAATTTAATGATAAGCTCGTCGAACGTTAAAGTTTGCAAAATTTTTAAACCTACAATCCATACAGCTGTTAAGTTTTAACTTTAACCCTTAACTACCGTGGCTTAGAAATAATGTATTCTGTTATCTACTTTTGATTAGAGAAGCTATAAACTTAACTTTGGCAGAGTCAAACTCAACCCTCGGACCATGGAGAGAGCCCCAATTTTAACTTAGTTTTCTATTTCATGTTATTTTCATTTCCTAAATTTTACTGTTTCTCCGAAAGTTATTTTCACTTGGTTCATACAGAAATTTTACGAGGCTCGTATAAAATTTTTGTTCATTTAAAGAAACGATATCGGTAGCTTACCTTAATAGAATGTAATGTTTGAAACGATCACGATTGCCGTCGTAAGAAACACAGCTTGGCAAGGATACAGAAAGGAGGTTTTACCATTCTTTGGGCATTTTGCCGTGTCGTTTAATAGTAATGGCAATGTAATTCGTTGTAATATACTTTCGTAGGAAGTCCTCGAGTACATATTACCTCCGTTTCCTGCTTTGTATTCCTTTCTTGTTTATTACACGTTGTGTTCGTGAACTGTTAACAGTGTTGTTACGTGATTCGAGTTTCGTCGAAACAATGTTCCATTCACTACTTTATTTACCTTTAAAAATATTATCTTCTTCGAGAACTAGTTTGAAGAGAACTCTAATGATTTTCAATTCACAACTGTTAGATTATTTGCCTATACAGTTAATCAATAGATACTGAACGTAATCGACCAAATTACAACGTCCGCAACGTTGTCGATCGCATTGTAATCGTATAGTGTTGCAAGAGTTAACCCTTCTGACGAAGATACATCGTTAGAGGGTTGTAGTTTGCCAGTGAGAAGTTTAGCTGCCAAAGTTGTTTGCTTCAAGTCACCGTTAGTCGCTTTTGAGGTATGTGTCGCCACTGTTTTACCAGGTGTGCGTAAACGTGTAATTAATACGCCTATTAATAAGGAGTTGGATTAAGTACATCCGCGGAATGTAAATTAACACATTGCTCAAGAACATTCTAAAACCATGAAAAAGATTTTGTGCAATAATTTCTTTCCTACGTAGCGATTTGAAAATTATGTTTTTAAATTTAGAATATTTTACCTATCGGATAGCGATTCGCTGTTCCATGCATAGTGAATGACTTTCTTGCGAAATGCACTGGGAGCGAAAGGGTTAAATGTACATAGCATCCCCCAAGTCTAGTCATTATCTTTGCGACAGATCACGTACGCACAAGTTGTCGTTCTTGAAAAACTGGGACGTGGTACGTGAGCAGGTAGATTGGTAGGTGGATTGCATCTCGTTTGTAACGTTATACTTGCAGCCGTCTAAGAGACGTCACAAGCTTATAGTGTCGCGTTAACCCCGTCATCCAGAAGCGGAGCGCATTCAACGGGTTGAAGTCGTACGCAATTCCTTGTTTCCATGGATGCTTCGTGTAAATCTGGAATGCGAGATGGCGAGGCACTTTGTTCCCCCGGAAGGTTTATTATTTTTGTTATTTCCATTTGAAAGGGTGCATTTCGCTAACGAACCGGTGCTCTGCCGCTTCCATCCTGGCCCTCTTACTAAAACGATTATCATTATCATGGAAATTGTAAAGAATGATTATAGAGGGAGTTATTCGGAATTAGGATTATTGCGAGGAATTATGGTGCTGAGAAGGGTTTACGCGAGGATTACACTTTGGTGTAAAGAAGGTTAATACAGTAGTTATGAAATGTTTTGTCTATGGGTCATTATTATTCATGGTAAACTAGAATATGGTAGAATATTAATAGGTTTAGTGCTGCGAGCTAACTAGCATTACAAATTTTCTACACTCATATAACTTAAAACAGGAAGTATCTTGTGATGGATGAAGACGTTTCGCGTAATATCGACTTGTACTACTTGCTCCAACTATAACATACAAAAATACAGATTCTTTTGCTGAATAGAATACAGGAATTCAATTAATATTAAATGAGATAAACATAAACATTGTTAGTCTTGTGAATTTGTACAA